TTTTCATAATTTTCGAATCGCTGGTTGTGGTACAACATGATTGTCTTTGATTCCGGATAATTTTGTAACACACTGTACCTTGTTCCTTGCATATATTCCGCTTTTTTTGATCACGCTTTCTCTGTGAATCTAAGTCTATCTTGCCTTGCTTATGGAACATTGGATTCTCGGAAAAATGCTGGACCCCATTATATTCCCACGCCAATTTTAGTTCTTCATTATACCCGTCTAATTGCATCCCATTCAAAAATGACGGTTTACAAGATGGGAATTTCTTACCTAACAGATCCTCAAAAATATATCTACATCTTCGCTCATCACTATGATGGAAGCAAAGTGGGCACCATTCAAATTTTGTAGCTATTAATGGATATGGATATTCCCACTGATGCTTTCCGTTTTCACAGGACCAGAGATATACATCAAAATTATTTATTTGGCCAGTTTTTATAATACAACGTCCACCACGCTTTTTCGCATATTGCTGTGCTTTAGCCATTTTATTAATAATACGAATGAAATTAACAGACCTGAAACGAGTATTTTTTTCCAATATACTCTGGGGCGGATACTGAAGCATATCGGTATTCACATATAAGAGTTCCTCTCTCACAAATCCACGTTTTGGAGGATATTCATCATCATCATCATCTCCGAGATAATATAAAACCGGTTTATTTTTTATTACTACGATTTTTCGAATTTTATGAAGGCTTGGTGAGAATGTCGGGTCTGTTGCACGTTTCTGATTCTCCATACCTCCTTCCCACTCTGCATTAGCAAGCAGATAGCGAACTGTATCACCTTTCTTCAACTATTTTCCTCATATTTTCCAACGGGACGCTTATATTTTGTAGATGGCCGAGATTCAACCTTTTCTAACTTAATTGCTTTTATAGGTGCTAATCCCCATTTCTTCGATCCGGGAGCTCTAATAAGACGCGTTGGATAATTATTTAGGTAACGATAAATATTAACCCATGCTCTTGTTAATTTAGGATTTTTAGATATTGATTCGACGGCATATATTGTAGAGTCAGAATCACGAGGTGGGGGAGGGGGAAAACACTGGCCCCACGTTCAAAGATCATCATGATAAAGCAACTACAAACTTTGTTGATCTTTATTAAGGTGGCCCGTGCTCAACATTTACATCTATGCCTGAACAATGTGGATCCAACCCTGCCTTGAGCGTCACACTTGCCTCGATTGTTGTGCCGTTCTTCCAGATTGTTGGTATGACCATACGATTTTACATATTGCTGCAAGTGAACGGAGATATATATGCGGTATGGCAGTGGGCATGTGAGGATCTCCCAACAAAGGACTCTGATGTTGCAAAGCATTGTCCTTCTATCCAAAAGGTTCATGACTCACAGGGTATGTTTGTTGTTTGTTCTGTCATTTCCAACTTCATTTTGCTTACAGACTTTGTTATGATAGAATTTGTTGCTCGCGATAGTTATTAAACTAAAACAGCTTAAACTGGGCTTTAGCGAGCACCTCGTTGTGAATAAAAGTTCCTCGCGATAGTTATGATAGAATTTATTGAATCGAATGGGCCATGAGATCAACCAAATTATACACAAAGCGAAGCTCATAAGAGATTACGCAGAAGAATTTACACTATCGGAGACAGTTGAAATTGATCTTTTCAGGACCCCACCCAAGCTGAAAAAAAAAAAATGAATATTTGAACTGACTTTCTTAGTATTTTTTACCATCGCGAGTCGAACGCAGTTCATGTAATTCATGAAATGCCAGATTCGATTATCTCTACCGTTATAGACATTATGTGTATAAAGCAACAATAGGACCATTGAGTAACGTCGACACTTACAGATATGAAATAACTTATTCAAAGAACAATGACAACATAATTTTAGTGGCACAACATTCATTCCCCTTTTTCCCAAGTATAAGTATACCCTCAAGCAATAGGTCAAAAGAAGGATAAGCACAAGCTATCCTATCCGATTAACATTTTTGCATTTTCGGATAACCAGTTTGGGCTGCGAGTTTTCAATGAGCTTGTAGAGTCAGCTGCTGCTCGGCATAAGCAACCTCACTATATACTACACGCAGGAGATGCAGTGCAAGAAGACAAGAATCTTCAACAATGGCGAACAGACTTCTACGATCCTCTGACTGCTTCTTATCTCGGCCAACAGGCGCCTTGAACTATTCTCACGGTAATCATGACTACGATCCTGATCTGGAATATACGTACACAGAGTAAGCACTTTGGTATTCCTTCAAAATGGCCAATAGTCAGTGGATTGTCCTAGATAGTAACATGGACGATATGAAACAAGATGAGTCGAAAAGTGCTGATATCGCTGTATTCGTGAATATCAGGCACCTCGTTTGCAGCTGGTAGTATGTGATAAGTCGTGTGGGCGTATTCGTATGGAATGCTGTAGGACGTCTCTCACACGGAACGAACGAGTATGGCGTGGTCTATCAAAATGGCCGTCATATATTAAAGTGCGGAAAGGGACAATTTTCAAAGACGGTGGATCTAGATAGTCCAAGTCTTAGGTCGTTTTCATTTCCTCATAGTTTGCTTCTAATAATTTGTTCAGATGTCATTAAAGATCTGTTGTTGAAGTCATTGAACCTTTCGCCCTACATATATATATATGGTAGCGTCATATATCATGTGATACTTAAATTCTTGAATTTTACTGGGCTGTTTGTTTGTCACATTGCGCCAAAGAAATTGAGTTAGTGCACCATAGAACATTACTTGTTAAAGTGAATCCAAGTTTATGTCAGCAGTTGAACAGTCTACAGTCGATGATAATGAGGAACAACCAGCTAAAGAGCGCATCATCCTCAATGTTGGAGGAGTTAGGGTAAGTTTGTTGTTCTTTGCAATAAGACGGAGGAAAACCCATTGCTTTAAACACTATTGATTTCATTAAGTATGAGACCTATCGCCATACTCTAACGGCTTATCCCGAGACCAGACTTGGAATGATGTTTCGTGAGAACACAAACTTGACTGTACAAAAATCAGCGAATGATGAATATTTTATTGATCGTGACTGTCATCTTTTCCGCTACATTCTTCAATTTTATCGTACTGGGAAAGTGCCAATGCCCGATGATGGTAACCGCACATGTCAGAATTGCGTTTCTGTCTCAGCAATGCCTTTACTTATTTGCCAAGCCAATTGTAGGTAAAGGCCTAATTCCAATCTCACGTGAAGAACTTGAAGTTGAGCTGGACTACTTCCTTATTCCTCGCACCAAACCTGTAGTTACTCTGCCCCCACCTCCAGAATTGTCATTTCGAAGAAAATTAATAGCCACGGATATAGACAGATTTGTTGCGTCGTTAAAATCGGTCGTTGTCGAAATAGCAAAACAGTTCAAACGAGAGTTTTTACTACAAAAGGACTTCGAATTCGTAGTCGAAGTGGGCTTTCGCGAGGACGGTCGTATCGGAGACTTGACTATAAATCCACCAGTTACAGTGAAAAGTCAGATCAGAAGTATGCTTGAACCTTTGGGAATGACAGGTTTTCTTTTGTTGGATAAGTTTGGGAAGGAGATTGGTGGCCATCTGGACGCAACCGTTTCAGGATTGCAATGGTCATCTGTTAAGAAACCAGAGCCGGGTTCTTTGGGTAACTGGATCGGAATGGTGAAATACTACCTGGTCAGAATCGCTGTAAAGGATACTTTTTGTGATCATGGAAAGATAGTTGAAGATTCAATACTTTCTGTTGCTATTGATGAATAATTGAACAAGATATTAAGGGGTCTATACACAAATGTACCAATTAACTTATTATAAATTAAATGTGGCTAACAGTCTTAGAGGGTATCTTCGAACGGCTATATATGCCAATGTGACACTTTGTATGAGAAACCCGCGCTAGAGCTTATCAAGAGTTAGATTAACGAGATGTAGGTTTCAACTAACAAATCAGTACCACGTAAATTTACGTCGAATTAGCCGTTAGACTATGACGGTTTACGTTTTGGGCTGTTGCCATACGATTGTAAGTGAGAACCATATATTAAAACGTATGGTTGAGACATGTGTAGCATATTTTAGTAGTGTTCAGTATGTGGTACATGCCCGTAGAAGTAATCACGATGGCTGCGGTCTACGCCGGTATTTGCTCATTTTAGGAACTTGATTCAGTGTAGTTTCTGCAATTGAACCAGCCTTGGTGATACCAACTACTATTTGTCCAAAAAATCATCATTATATTAGTGTTCTTGACATGCAACAGTTACAACTCTATATCCACAGAAACTTCACTTGTAATGACTTCTGATTTATTATATTGAAACGTTATTAATATAACTGGTGGACGCGTAATTAGTGTAATAACAAATCAAGTTCCCATCGCGACTTTCGCGACAAAAGACTTAATTTATTAATAAAACTTTTTGCCATCACCCTAAGATCTTACTTAGTATTAGGTTACAGTGACGTATTATAGACCAAAGTTCTAAAATTACTATCATCGTGGTGATTATGTTTAATGACCCTGAAAGATACCGTTGGCTTTACGTTCACCAATAGCCTTAATGTAATTGTGAACCTCCAATTCTTCGTTTTTGTCGAGTAAAAACCAATGTTAAAGGCAAAGCCAGATATTTTTAGCTGCCGACGTCATCTCAATGCTGAAGCAATTACTATTACGTGGATTTGTACGATGTGTTTGTTTGTACTCATTTTCTATCCGTCATTATAGACTGAAGAGTCAGGCTGGAATTAGCTGAATGTTAATTCAACGATAATGTTTATGACTCTAAAAGCGCAGGCCTCCATGATCTTCGGCTTGTCTAAAATTAATCTTTGCATCACATGACAACACAATATTTGATCTGCCTCGTACCAAGGTCTTTTATATGTTTCCGGCCTAAATTGATAGAAAGTCTTCTACTATAATACTGTAATAGAACATAGTAAATACTAATACTAACTTTAATTATAATACGTTTTGCACACTATTATACTAAAAGGGCACTAGGCATTCGTGCATTCCACAAATATGCCTAATCAAGAAAGTCCGACCATTCACATGCCTTTTTAAGCCATACACCATTTCCGGTCAATTTATAAATACTACCGCAGTCTGCAATTTCCGACCACAAAGATCTGCATTATGAGCATCCCCGATGACACTTATGTTTCGTCTACTAGAACCCACAAAGACGCGCCTGTCATTTCGTCTACTCGACGTTCAAAGTCGAAAGACCAGGAATTGACCAGCGAAGAAGCTCTAAGGTAAGCTATGCATATTATACTGGGAATCGAAAAATTGAAGTTTGGGTCGGAGCAACTGCTATTTTCTATAGCTTTATTATGATCCGTCTAACTCGATTCGTTCTATAAGAAAATTGATTCAAACGGCGAATCATATTCTTGCTGAACATCGAAGAAGCCTACCCAAAATATCGGTGCTAACATGTAAGTTAATCTTTGTTACTTATTCTCTGGCATAATTTCTAACATGTTCTTTGAATACGCTTGTCCATTCTTAATTGTGTTGGTTCAGGGACACGAGAATTCCTCTCTCGTAAAGATTCCAAATTTACAATTCTGTCTGTTATCCTATTGATTGCTTTCTATATTTATGGAGCAATAAAGAGTGATCGATATCAATTCCGTTTGACTGGAATCCTCGTGGAGGCCATTGTGATTCTGTTAATGCTAGCATGGAATGGATTTCTCTACTTCAGAGAGAAAAGAGCTTCTTTGTTAGAATTGACTTTGAGAGTTGAAAAGATTATTGAACAAATGCAAACGACAGAAATAAAAAACATTCAGGTATTAATGCACTTTAGCTGTTATTATAACTATCGTACTTCATGCCATTGCGTTGTGCCCTTGTAACCATATAATCACGTGTAATACTACTATCCAGGAAATAAGGGTCCCGTTCGTTCCATCAATAACATTTACAAAAGTATGCCGGGATGGAATAGAGAGTACAATACCAACATACCTTTTGGTAGAAGGTGACATTGTAGAGCTTTTCTTCGGTGACATAGCTCCATGCCAGATGCAGTTTATTGCACCGACAGACGCCGATCTCTCCCCAAGTAAACTGACATTAAATACAAATGAAGTGTTTAAACCATCATTTTTCTCAGAACTCAAGCCGCAATTACTACTGGACGATCACATTTCCAATCGTGGTCGATATAAATTCAAGATAATAGAAACGCCATGGGCGAACAATCTTAAATGTGTACTTGATCAACGGCGCCCTGCAAGTGTGCTGTGCAAACAGGCTCAAGTGCTGGAGGATGTATTTTTTAAGAAAGCTATAGTTATTATATTCGCCATTGTTTTCCTTGTGAATTTACCAAGATTTATCGTGTACGAAGCGATGAAAAGCGATAGACGAAATCACGCGCTTGAATCTTTACTCGTGTTACCAGTATACTGCATTTTACCAATCCTTCCGTTTACGTTCCCTACACTTTGGCTGGTTGTGCGTAGTTTTAGTAATGCTACTGTACTCGTGCTGTTCGAGGCACTTCAAATATCAAAGACAGATTATGAAGACGATGATGAAGTGGACGAATTTGATGCTGAAGCTCCACCGCCCACTAAGAATGTGCATCTGGATCGAGGTATGATTAACTGCAGAAAGATTAAAACAAAACCGTCAATAATGATATTGAAATATAGTCCATGTTGCTTGTTATTTATAGCTGCTGTATGGAGTAAATTTCGTTATTTGTTAACACAATGGGATCTATCTGCATTACCTCGGACAAAGAATCTGTTTCAGTCATTGGGAAGCACTACTGTTATCTGCTCACTTGATCGAGAAGGGACAATATCGTCTGTAAGTAAATGAATGGGTCATTGTTTGTTCGTGCAAGCATTTGTGATTTGCCGATTCTGTAATGCGTCTTTCTCTTTCATGTAGCCGTATCCTTCGGTCAAGCAAATATTCTTTCCCATCGAGAACGAAGAGACAACTCGGCTTGACGTTGCAGAGGATCCTGAGATGCCATTTGGTGTCAGGTTTGAAGATCAAGATTGGTCGCAATATATGTCGTAAGCATCGCATACATGTTGATTAGCGTCTGATAACCGTCCAGCATCTTGTGTTTTTTTCTAACCCGTTTATCTGCAATTAAATTTTCAAAGATCCTTGAAACCGCTGGGTCTTAATCTCCTACTCAATACAAATTGCGGTGCTCTCCAAGGCCGCAAGCGCATCGACCAACATCAGAAATGGTCCAAGCTCCACCGCTATGCCAAAACCAAACCAGCTAGGCAATGTACGATTCTAAGCACAATTTTCGTTCGCTTAATTTATTTTGCAAAATTATTAGACATTTAATTAACTTATCTCATGCAGCGTGCTTATGCCAGTTGGGTAAGGAAATAGGATTCACTGACGATGCTCTTCAGGCATTCGTCAGAAGGAAGGAAATTTACGCTTTTGCTCCTTATCATCCATCGCTTCTTGAGCGTATACGTGATGACCAATGGGAACTACCAATTATGGTTTCGTTGATATATGAAGAGGAAGGATCGGGGAATTACCAGTTATTGTCCGAAGGGCACGCGGAAGTCATATTGGACAGCTGTTCTGATTATTGGGATGGACGAGGATTGAAACCGATGAACCAAGCGGTGAGTACAACGATTTTTTGGAAGCGAGCGTTAATTGGCATTACATGCCCACGTCTGTATTTTAAGTAATGATGTTAGATATACTGAACAGTGATAATATATAACGACTATTAGATGGATAAGAAAATATCCGATTTTTACCAAAACGCCATTGTAAACGACCTCCAATGCATAGCCTATGCCTACCGTCCGATAAACACCGAAAGTGGCAACCCCATCCCTTTCCTTGATTCTCCTTCGTCTTCTAACATTGCATTTATCATGCTACCACCATCCCCCGAAGATTATGTCTTATATGCGTCATCCGGCTCTAACGTCTTCCTCAGTACCTCTAATCCTCCTTCCCTCTCCACCACACCAACCGATCTCTCCAGATCACAACTTATCAGACAGAGACATCTTCAGGCTGGTCAACTGGAAGCTAATCTTCATGATTTTATATTCGAAGATCAAGTCACGCAGGAAGATGAAGAAAAGTTCTATAGGGAAGTGATAAACGGGCAGATATTTTTAAGCATGGCAACATTAGGTCATGAACCAAAAGTGGTAAGTCTTTCGGATCAAAAGTAATGGCGGAGAGAAAGTTACAATTGCAAAAGAACACAGAGCAACGAGCTGAGTTTCTTTTTCGTTGTATATGTTAGGATGTGCGAGATTTCATTGAGGATCTCAAATTAGCGGGCATTAGATTTGTCTACTTCTCACAGACGGCAGAGCGCGAGAGCAAAGGTAATGTTATTTATCAATCTCCAAAGAATTTATCAAGTTTTAATTCTAGTTCTCAATAACAGTCATTAAATGCCACATCGTTTCTTATTTTTAAATTCATCCCTTACGAATACGAAAAGCTTACGCCGAAGAACTCGGTCTCGAGACTGATTGGAACAGTTGTATACTTCTATCCTCCCCTGGTGACGCAAATTCGTCTTCTTATCGTGAAACGCACGACATCAAGGCTCGCCTCCCACGAGGTGTCGACTCTATCCGCCCTCACCTTAAAGAAGTCGACGACATTCCACTACACGTCTCGCTTTTCGCCGAATGCACTCCCTCTACAACTCTAGAAATGATTAAAATATTTCAAGAATACGGAGAAGTTGTATGTTGTATCGGGAGTTCTTTGAACGCAGCTAACACGCAAGCATTTGCAGTGGCTGATGTCAGCGTAGCTATGGAACCGATGCACACAAGGGTGCAGATGAGAAACGGAATGTGGTATGCGAGCGGACGTGGAGTAAAGGAAGGATTGGCTGTTGGGGCTATGTTGAACAGTTTGCCCTGCGCGCTGTTTATGCAATATGACACTAGTCTTTACGCACTGACCGATGTTATCAGGGAAGCAAGGAGGTTGATGAATGCGGCTAGAAATGTACGTATAATTATTTTGCTGTGGGTTTTTAAACGTGTACAAGCTTATGTCAGTCATATGGAAGTTTCAATTTGTATCTTAATATTCATTTGTTTTTGTCGTAGGGTGCTACATTCCTCATAGGCAGCTATTTGGCAACATCCATTCTTTTGATTCTCTCTTCCTGTTTGTTTTTGCCACCTGTCTTCACTGGCTATCAAATCCTCTGGATAATGTGGATTATCTGTCCCATACTGGCTCTTTCATTCTTGTTTAATCCTCACGAAGCTGATACAATGACAACAATGACTGGGAAGAACAACGAACATCTAAAAGATTTCAAGCGATTTGTCATCTATTTCGTCTTGCGATTCTTTCTGCCCATCTGTTTCTGTATTGCCGTGTTTGTTAGTTCGCTGTATTATTTCGATGGACAACATGATCTCTCTTTTGTTTTCCGGTCTTATGGAAATGTTGACTGGTTGAAATGGGATAATGACCGGCAGTGGGCAGTTGTATATTCTCAGAACTGTGCCTTGTTTGCATTCGTATGGTATTTGGGTAAGTAGAAGAAGGATCGTATTTCAATGTATTTATATTGTGTGGCATCGAAGATAGTAGCAGGTATTTCATTCTTATATTTATTTGAAATTCCGTCTGTTGACCAACTTTTCTCTTGACGTTTAGCATGCACTTCGAGTACATTCGTCCATCGAACTCTTTCGTTGCGTAGTTTTCCGCCATTCAAGAACAAAATGTGGATCGCCATGTTCTTTGCCAGGTAACAACGATCAATAATTATTGGTTGTATAAATCCGTTATACTAATATTATGTTTCTCCTCCAGTATTACTCTTCAATCTCTCTTCACTTTGATATCTCTTATCATCGGTCCCCTCTCGCTGAGTAAACTACCATTTCCTGTGTACGTAATCGGCCTATTGAGTCCAGTTCTATTTATCCCAGTACAGGAATTAGTCAAAATGCATGACAAGGAAGAATATACGAGATTTCAGAAAAGATCAAAATTAGAATTTAATACTAAATTAGGAATGCATTCTCCAATATAATAGTAGATAAAAGGATATGTAATTAGTAATGTAATTGAATATACTATGATTATGCTATCGCGAGGAATTATCGCTCTACGCTTAATCGCGAAAAAAAAAGTAATACTCGAGTCTTTATCCGCCGCATTTTCCCGCTCTCCCCGCGTTATTCCGTCATTACCATAATACGATAAACGCACATGGAGCGTTTCTTATTAGTATGTGTATTTTTAACGCTTTACGTCGATTAAACAGATTTTCCTTTTACGTGTATTGGGTGTAAAGTTTGACTATAAGTATTAACTAAGAATTGCGTTGCAGAATTCTCTAAACTAAAATTTGTTTATCAGTTAATGCGACCCTTTTTTTATTTTTCGACAAGATGAAAATAAAACCTTCTCTGCGCAACTAAATTTATAACGGTAGTCATTGAAATCCTTCTGCTGTTTCAAAGCTGTTGTAAGGAGGACCAAATCAAACATTGAAAAAAGAAAACAGCACTTCACAAATAATTCTTTTTTCACGCGTAAAACTAAATCTATAGTAAATAATGTTGTGCGCGTCGAATTGTGACGCTGGGACCGAGCATTTACTAGTATGAAGATTTTATTGTAATAATACCAATTCATATACAGATAATCCTACTACTACGTATTTAGTATTGTTGTACGTCAGATCGGAATTTATGTCAATTCCGAAATGATATGTGTCAGATCAGAATTTTATGTCGCTTCCAAACTGACATGTGTCAGATGAGAAAATAGAAAATTAGCAATAAATATTACACGTTTATTAGGAGGTCCAGTGCTAATACTAACGACATATTACTTACCATTATTATTGTAACATAAATATTAATATAGCATCATTCTCTTGTAATTCTATTCTTCTTATTATTTTTATTTAGATATCTCATTTTCCTTCATACTGGCTTAACTATTGCTATTACAATTTTTTGATTTCTCCTCTTTTTTACCTTGTTCCCATTGCTCAAATACCCACGCGCTAAATTGGATTCCCTTAATCACGTGAAATGTTCATAAATAAAATCGTTAGTAAATAACTCATAGTCTTACGTTTAATATTGTTGCTACAAGTTTATTCTAAATTGACAAATCGCTAGCGACTACATTTCACAATAAAATAACAATTAGAATACTTTATTCACGTTATGTGATTAAAAAAGAAAGAAGTTTACTGTTTACAATTCCAACAAAATGTTATTCGCATTCATATGATAAGTCTATTCCGAACGCGTTTTTCTTCTTTATTCGTAAAGGTTGCTTTAGGACTACTCTTTACTTTTCTTCCAAGTTTGTGATACCATAACAGAAAACAAATTTAATCATTTCAATACGTTTCTCTTTAACAAAAGATAAAACAATAAAAAAAAGATCGTTCTATTATCTCGTCCTCTGTTGCTGTTTGTTTTTAGTAATTGTAACTATTTAGATCACATGAAAATTTTGTACATATGTATATTGGCTTAATGGCAGAAACAACTGCACACATCAAAGATGATGAAAGTACTGTCACAGAGGACACTCCCGTTACAGAAGGAGTAGGGTATTGGCTCAAACAACGCGAAGAATGGACAAGAGGCCACAGCAGTACTCTAGTAGAGTCACCAAATAGTAACAACCCTGCGCTGCGAGAAATTGTTCCCGATAACTATTTAAAAATCTACACACACCTCGTTCGCAATAGGAGGAAATTGTCAAAACCCATCCCATTATCTTTTGCGGTGAGCTTTTGTAATGCGGGTGTGTGTGTGGGGGGGTTATGCAACTGATATAGAAATGGGGTTTTTACCATATTTGAACTGGTATATTAATATTAATGTTTGACTGAATTAGATCAAAATACTGGTGGCAGGCTGGAAAGCCGATGGTACTTGGCCAACTGAAGAAAGTGTCAGCCAATCTTCAATACAAGAGAGCACGAGAAATTGAGATGCTGTAATTATGCAAAGTCAAAAGCTCTATTTTATTTTCGCATCAAATTTACTATTGTACATTCCTTATACAATTACATGATCCAACAATTCCAAATCCTTCCCTTTCCGCTCTTCTTTTCGTCACTACTACTCATTTTCATTTCTCCTTCTTTCTCCTGGATCAGTTCTAGTTGCTTCCTTGCTTCCTTTCCAATATCATCATCCTTCACTGCTGCTAACTTGTAGTATCGTTTCGCAAGACTTATGTTTTGCTCGATCCCTAGTCCATCATTATACATTCTTGCTAGATTCATCTGAACATTAAGAGAGGACATGCGCGATGAAATGCGTAGTGAATAGATCTGTACGGGGAGTGAGCCTAACAAAAATAGTAAATATATTGCGACTAAACTGATCGAACCTGAGCTACACGAAATCCTTGAGCGGCAGCCATTTTCCAGTACGCTACAGCCAGACCATAATTTTGCTCGGTGCCTATACCGCGAAAGTACCGATAACCTACATTGTATTGGGCTTCAGGCAAACCTATTAACGTTACTCGTGAGTAATCATGAAATCTACTCATAGTAATCGGACGAAATTATGAGACAGAATAGTATATAGTTTCCTTATTACGAACTGACTAACAAAGAATTCAAAGTTGGAGCAAACTTTCACAATATTCTAAGCAATTTTGTCTATCTATATTTCCTTCAGTTAGGTTACAACGGGACATATTTGTTCTAGAATACAATATTAAATAACCGCATCGCAAAAAAAGTTAGTGAAAACAAATATATATTTCGCATCGGTAGGAACATCACCAACAAACGGGACTACGTATTGAATCTTTACCACAAATTTGCTCAGGATGTTGTTATACATCCTCGCGAAGTTTCTGTCCAACTCGGTTCGAACTTGAAAATATTCCCGCATCCAATTCGCATTTCTTACCTTGTGATGCTGCAGACATAAAGTATTTAAAGGCTTTCTCCTCATTTGTTTTCCCATCTTTGGTAGCTAGTCCACTACTGTAATAAACTCCCATCATGAATATCGATTGGGCATTTTCTACATGGTCGAGAGGTTAATGAGATGATTCAGCAAATTTTAACAGGGGGAGACGTTGAAACTCACTTGCATCAGCACCCTTTTTGAAATATTGAAACGCCATCTCATTATCTTGCTCAACGCCAATTCCTCCCCTATACATCCGTCCTACCAAATACAGTTTGGTTTCAATTATTGTTTCAGAGCAGAACACTCAACCTCATTAACCGTTTTACCAATTTCAGTCCACGCATCGGAAATACCACCGCGACCAGCCAGTTCATACAACTCGATTGCTTTTTTATAACCGCTTTCCTCTCTCGCCAACATCGACGCAAGACTAAATTGAGCATACACATGGCCTTTGGATGCTAATTGCGAGAGAATTTTCATGCCCTCCGCGACATTACGAGCAGTGCCCCCAGAACCCTTGCACAGAATATTAGCATAGCTAAATGCGGCATCACTGTCCCCATTATCCATAGCTATTCTGTATAATTCACGCGCGACTGGTGCACCGCGTCCAGCTTTGAAAAAGAAAAAGAATGGTGAAAAGTTGGATGATGCGAAGCGCATAGGTAAACGTAAAAATTTGTCCAATATGTAAGAAAGCTTGGGATAGAATCGTATGAGCATATATACCAGTAGTTGTTCGAAAGACCAGATTTGCAAGAGCAGTGATATCTGCAGTGTTCGAGCCAGCTACTGTAACATTAAGAAGGTGTATCTTAGTATATTACGATTTAGCGCTCAAAGTTATATACGATATCACGTTAATACCTACAGTCAAGTACCTTTTTTTGAGCGCTCTTTGTCGTTTGAAAATCATCAGACCCTATAATCTCTTCAAATGCGACTTTTATAATATCCTGCTGTACTTTTGTCGGTAAACCAATACTCTTATTCTGTCGGTACGCTTCAAACTGCGCGTTTGAAGGCATAACTTCTAATGATATACGATGACCACGTATTGTAGTTTGCCAAACAATCGTTTTTGAAAAAAAGAGCTAAATCTCGCCACGCACCATCCAAGGTTAAACGACGTTCTTTCTGTTGATTTGTCAATTCAACTTGAGACTGCTGTACTTCTTGTCTATCACTTATCATCATCAGCTTTACATATAAATATACATATAATGCCTTTGCAGACAATCACGCCCCCTCTCTTCTTAGTAATGCCAATGTCATACCCAGAAGACGACATTATAGTAAAATTTTTAATCCCTCGTGAGGCAGCATATTGGCGACTGAGTATTGATGCAATTATGGATCGATTGGTTTGTATGAGATTATATCGTGCAAAGCCGATGACTCGATTGCGGTTGAGATCTAGAACGGCTGTCACACGAGGGTGCATCTTCGACGATTGAAGAAGATTAACAACGGAAATATTTTCGGATTTAAACAATCTGTTTCTGCCAGGCGTCGATCGTTGTACTACGTTCTCATGCCGCGTCTTTTTACGATGTTCTTAAGAGGTTGATATACAATACGCAAATGAAGAACAGCCATGACAAGTACGCCTTACAATGTAAGTGAAACAGTGTATTTTCTAATAACTTAATTATTAATCATTCAAAATCTAAATTAGAAAGCGATGTAAAATGAAATTGAGTTATGACATAGCGTGCAATGTATCGAGTGCAAAATAAAATTAAGACGCGCTTGTTACATGAGAAGCGTAAAACCCATTGATAAAGTTTTCGTTGACATGTATTGTTAATAATGCGCTTTAATAGATTGCAATCAAAAATCAGATACATGTAAATTTGTCTTCTATACATAAATTAATTATACTCAGTCAAAAAACGTCTGAAAACCAATTCTTAAGTAATAATATTGCCCTTCTTCTTTGATTGATGAATTATAGTAGTTGTTATCTGGTACACTTTCTTTCCTAGCTCGCAGGTTACTGTCAGCAAGACTACCGCTGAAAGAGCTGTTTTCTAACATCCTAGCCAATGTTGGAACACATACGTGGCGTGTGGCTGTCTTCGACACCTTAATTGAAACAGCACATTAGCAAGGCCGTGTGTTGAGAATATCAGCTGGTCAATAATGTTCTCTCAGCCGGTTGCATATAACGATAAGATCAATGAGATGCTCAGCATATTTATATAAACACGTAAGGTAATAAAATGGATTAAGCACGAAATTATTAACAACGGTTGAAACCCTCACATTTAATTAATATCTTTTATCAAAATCTTTTCGCTTGCTTGTCCCGTTTTACAATCATGTAGGCAAAGGAAAACGTAAAATAATAGGTATACAAGTATACTGCATTACGCAAATGATTCAAAACTTACATAAAGCATTGCCATTATCCATTGAAATCGAATGGAATAACAACAGAGACAAGTTCAGATGCTGGAATCATCCATCAGAAAGCATATTTATATTCAGGGCATAAAAATCCAGCCTGGTTCTGCAAACTAGAAGAGTGGAGAATAAATACCATTAGTATTAGTATTAGATTCCAATAAATCATACGATATATGATGTACAATGCACTCACAAGTGCTTGGATATTGAACACCGAATTACAGGCTAACGTTGCTAATATTAGAGAGGGTTCACTGTACTTGTATTCAATAAGTAATGGACTAAAAAAAGGTCTCTTTATCATTTTTATTATTATTTCTAATGATAACGTGCGGATAAAAGCACGCGTTTTGGTTATAACAATGAATGAATTTCTGTTGGAAGATCCAAACAGTTATGGAATGAATATAACGATAGAAACTATTAACCTAACCTATTTGGAGAAGATCACGTATTAGTATTAGTATTAGTATTAGTATTAGTATTTACTTTTAGTACTATAAAGTCAGGTGATTTTATTCGCACCACATAATTTACGAACCCTTGTTTCTCTAGAGGGAATGGCTGATCCGTGGGATGACGGGGAAGCCGGCGCTGGCGCTTACGCTAACGCTGATGTATGTGTTCTCAATCTTGTCTGTTCCTGCCTCATTGACTCTCCCATTAAGATCCCTAACCAAACACTCCGACCTTTCAAATCTCTACGTTAGTTAGATCAGAAACCGATAAACAAGGTGGACGAACATGAGAGAAATAGACGGCTTTGGCAAAATGCGTATGTCATTGATCCAGCTTAGCCTTTAATAACTTGTGGATTCCCTCCCAAATAACAACAAAAACCATCGATTTGTAGTAATGCGCATCCGCAGTTTGAAGTTATTCGACAGGACTCGACGAGGACTCAATATGTGCCCCAGGTGAGTGTTTATGTGATTCGAGTTGGGTTTGTTTTACGAACATATTCTAAAACTTGTTATTAAACATTATTCCCAAATTTAATTGAAGTACTAAATAAATTCAAATATACATCATATTAACTTTCCATACACGCCATATTCCCCTTCTCTTACCTTTTTCCTTGTTCTGCTGTTTACTGTAATCACAGTTGCGCCTCCTTCAACGTCCCACGGGCTCAACAGGCACGGCTACCCACCACTCGTCTTTCAAGTCAGGGGATCAATCATCTAGTCACTCTGCACAACAGCAAAAAACACTTGCTGAACGCGAGAAAGAATATTTGGCTGCACGACAGAAGATATTTGGTGAATCCGGAGGGGAAGATGAGGTGAAACGGGGGAATGACGGCGAATTGACAGGGAGAGAAAGTGGTAGGGATAATGTCTCAAGTGCGAAAAAGCCGAGTCGGAATGCCGATAAACGTGGTAGTGGAACTGGAACTGGAAGTGGAAGCGATAGTAATAATGAGAAGCGAAAGGTAAATGAACACGGATTTCGTAGGGGCCAAACGGACAAGAGAGGCCTGAGCGCGAGAAGAGGACGAGGATGCTGAGATGAATGGTTTGCCCGGAGTACGACGTATCAAGAATGTATTTATTAAGGTGACGGATTTTTGACGCTTGAAGCTTTTTTTTTGTGGTTCTGAAGGAGATGCGCCTTGATATATTAATATTTAAAAGTTAGGACAGATTCTCTAGAATATATATATCCTGATAATAGAGTGTAATATGAATAATCGGTCTGGTTGCGATGTGGTCTTATTGTTGTGATTCAAACAACCTTAATTAATAGTGAATTTAGATAAATTAATTGTCATTCAGAAACATGAAAAGAGTGTATGTTATCTTGAACACTTTCATTTCTAATTATCAGAAACGAAGTAGCGGTAAAATGCTTGCGTTAGTATTAGCTATTGACTGAAAATGGTAAATTTAAGTTAACTGCCCACAATTTAAATATAAACAGTCAATCCAAAGTAAAAGCACAAGAGAACTGTTATTGAATAAGGGAAAACATAAAATAAAATAAAAAAATTTTTTTCTGGAAAAGCTAAAACTACATTGCGAGGTCTGGTCTATTGCATGGCCAATTAGTAGCTCGAGTTCCATTCCAGCATTAGCAATATGTGAAGTGTGAGTCCAAATACTGTATGCCCATCAGTTATGTTAATGAAGCAAAATAGAGCATGAATTTTAAATAATTCAATAGTTATAAAACAATCTCTGTCATGAGCTAAAAATGCTCAGACTTACTTGTTCATGTCCAAGAAAAAATGCGGTTTTGACTCTTATGCTAAAACAAATGACTGAAATGAATCCCTAATAAAGAAAACAGTTGGACTTTGTCATAAAATTTCGTTAGCTTCGACATAACGCCAAGCAAAAATGTTAATAATTCTACACTGGTTGAGCTATGCCTCTCGGGATCTTAAAGGAATACGTAGGGTATAAATATAATCGTCCGCCACATATACTCGTCATGAAGCGAGACCCTCATCTTTAGCCCATCGCGTTCACCCGTAATGAAATATACTGCACCTCTTATTTCAATATTGGATTGATAAACGTCAGCATTACTCTATCTTAAAATTTTTAAAGATTTGCTTGAAAGCTGCAAGTCTTCAAAAATCCATATCACTAATCAATTGCCTAATCTTTTTTGTCAAATTAAGCTTGAAATGGGCAGTCGAATCAGAAGAAAAATCGTTTGACGCGCATCGCGTCGCATTATTTACATTTATGGCAGCGGTTACAGTAACATCTGGTATTTCGTGATTGCGGATACGTAGGGTGTTTGAAAAGTTTTGACAATATATTTAATTATTGTACATAATAACTTTAAAATAAATGATCACATTTCTTCAAAGTACTCTCCATCTATTTCTACGCAATGTTTCAGCTTTTTTTTGCCAATTCTCAAAGGCTCGACAGTACACCTCTTTTGATATACTATTAAACACCGCCTGAACAGCTCATGCAAGACCTTCAGCATTCTGAAACGCCTTTTTTTATTATGGGAAACAGAAAATGTCACAGGAAGCCAGATATAAACTGAAAGGAAGATGTGGCATGAATTAGACTTCTTCTTTAAGTAACTATTAACTACATATACAGTGCCTTATAAAGTGATGCATTGTCATAATGAAGAATCGCATAACATACCAATACAGAATCCATCTTGAACCTACTTACTGAGATCAAGTTGACTATGTAAATATGTTCAATTGTTTTTTAAGGTCTCCCAATCCCCTCCTCTGTTATTTATTATTTTTAAAATTATGTGGGGTTTATCATTTAGTAGTTCTTCACCAATTTTGCAAAATTTCTGAGGGTAAAGCTTCACGAGGCGGCTTCTGAGTGGGAGTCATCTTTAATGCTCTCATCCCACATTTTCAAATGCTTCAATCCATCTGTAAATTGTATGTTCAGACAGTGCATTGTCAGCCCTCAACTTTTGATAAATTTTTCTTGTAATTTGGCCATTTCCCCAGCTAGTAGAGATGTAGCAATATTAGGATTCTCACATAAAAATTTTCCATACGTTTTAGGGTACGGTTTTTGAAGCAGATTTCTCAACAGCCATCAAATCAAATTGTATCAAATTCTCTATGTTAGATCAATCAAGACTTGAACTTTACTCACATTTCCACTTTATTTAATAGATGCCCAGATCATTGAGATAAAAATATATTTCAGACACCCTCCGTACATTAATGCTTATAAACTTCCTTGGAATCTCATAATCGATAGAATTTTAAACCGTCCTGACAGGTGTTTATAACAATTTAAAGCGATTTTATTTGTTCATGTTTATATTGTTAGATTATTTTTAAGTGCTTCTCAGATCATAAAGAAATGGTCGTCCCGTCCTGCATCGTAGGTTGAGATTTTTGATAGAATCCATGCTTCTCCGATAGGTTCCATTTGAACGGTTGGGTTACAATTCGTACGACAAGAGAGCGGTACACCAAAAGCCGTCGGTGCCAACATGTTATTTCTGATCGCATCACGAACTTTGAATAATTCATATACTCCTCGAAAGTAGAATAGACAACGGGAATTGTTGTCCCTGCGTTGGTTCGGGCAAAGACCATATGTGGCAAATAAATCCATTACCGTATAATACGCAGGCCAACCATGTTGGTTTAGCCACGCCACGTTTGGTGCTATCACGAGGACTATTGCAAACCTTTCCCTGTCAGCGAGTTCATTCACTCTTCGTTGGAATAAAAACTGAACTAGTCCATAGATGTCGGACAGTTTCGATTGTAAAAAAGCCATTAAACACACTTATTGAAATTTCAGACTGATTCGATTGCCGTTTTGCCATGTTTACATGAACTCATTTGATGCTTGTCATAGGCTTATCAGAGTTAATCGTACACAGTAATGATAATAACGAAATCGAATCTTAACTCGAAGGTGTGCTATCAGCTATATGCATTAAGATGTAACATTTCCTCTACGGTTGCTTAATTTAGAATGCCTTCACCAGTCAATATTAATATATATAGGAAGCATGATTCGCATTAATATTGAAAATTCAATATTGACATACCCGATGCTTAAAAGTCATCTTCCAGGAGTAATGGAAAGGAAAGAATCAAGACATAACAAAAGCTGCTCAACAACACATTATGTCTGATTCAACTACACTTTCACATCCTGCAACTGTATATATCCCCATCGGTTGTAATTACACAACATATTATGCGTGTGCCAAATCTCATGTGATTTGCCAAAATACCAATCAAACTGAACGTTGTGAGAGATCAAACCTCAAACTTCTAAGCAAGAGAATGACAGATACACTGACAAGACGATTAATAAAAGAATTGAAGGAATTTCAGAAAGATCCGGCACCTGATCTCAAAGACTTAGCGCCTGAGAGGGAAGATGATATATTGGTTTGGAAGGCAATACTAGAGGGAGAGAAGGATACGCCATACGAAGGTGTTCTATCTTGAATTAGATGTTTATTACTGTCTTGGATGATCTATCTCGTATATTGAATATTACCGCGTTTATGTCTGTTATAAGGCGGGCAATGGAAGCTTCGAATAAATATACCAAGAAACTATCCAATGGCTCCACCAAACATTAAGTTTATGACGAAAATTTGTCATCCGAATATACATTTTAAGGTAAAAGTATGATTCTTTCCCCCGTCTTTTTCCTACTCTTTCCCAATATCAATCTTTTATCGTAATTTTACGTTGTTATTAGTCAGGAGAGATATGCCTAGACGTGCTGAAAAGTGCGTGGAGCCCAGCATGGACATTACAATCAGCATGTCTAGCCATAAGATTACTGTTATCGAATCCAGAACCGAGTAGTCCATTGAACTGTGATGCTGGTGAGTAATAATTTATTATAAAGAGCAAAGGCTTCGTAAGGATGCTTTTATGTTCTCTGGATGACTAGTAATAATGTTATTAATATCTTACATAGCAAATCTTCTCAGATGCGGAGACACAATGGGCTACGAATCTCTTGTGAGGATGTACACACAACTATATGCAATAAATCACGCTTATGACGAAAACCAGTCTGGTGGAAGTGGTCGTTCAGTTTCTTCTTAATCGGTGGATGAGAAAAGAATAACATGTCATAATACAGAATTTAATGTCTTAATACCACATATAATGGGGAACTGAAATTTCACTACACAAAAAAAAAATAATGCAAATGTATACTCAGTTAGCTGAAATCGATGTTGCTTCTCATTATATAAAAACTTGTGAACTGCTAGGATGTTTTCGTCGAAATTGACTCGACGATCAAGTCTTTATATCGGTTTCGTGAAATTGTCAACAATGAATTCTCGTTGATTGCGGTTTAATTTCAAGTAAACTTTTGCATAAGGTCTTGACGAAAGACGTCATAGAGTTTGCCCGCTACAACATCAATTGTTGTGTTATGGTCGATCAACACGAGTTGCCGCGCCTATGCTGCACGGTTCGCCGTACCATGAAATCAACGGGCCAGACAGGCGCGCATTCTCTGACATAATATTGTAATCAATGGTAGACATAACCGTTATCCTACATCAGTGACATATGATAAAATTAATCTGAGATTCGTTAGATAAAACTTTTGCTCAGCTTTGACTATTAAATACATGTAATTAGAACAGAACTGTTGATGATGACGCCGATAGAACATGTGATACAAATAGGGGAAATGAAATCGCAAAATAACTTAGATGCAAAATTATGTAAAGCCTTTGTCACCTGGAAACAAGATAAATCTTAAAAAGGCTATTATTACTACTATTACCATGACCCTAAAACGACCAGTTTAATTATAGTTGGATGAGATGAGACCACGCTTTCCGAAACACGGTATAATAAATAACTACAGTCGACCCTCCATAAAAGAACCCCCCATAAAGGAACAACCTCTCATAAAGAACATTATTTCATGGGACCGATGCAATTTATTAGTAACTTTCCCTTTATAAAAGAACAATCTATAAAGGAACAAGAACATAATTCTGAAGAACGCTTATATTATACACCCCTGCCAAAAGTATAAGTACAAACGGCGATCATTCGAAATCGTCTTCACAATAGCATCATTTCAAATCTAGTTTACTCGGAAACCCACATAATAAAAATCATTATAATTTAC